ATGAGATTAAGACAGTTTAAAAGGTAAAGCAAAAGCCACGCATGCAAGCAAAGCAAAACAAGGAATTAATTCCCTGCTTCCCATCGGCAGGCAGGTGTTCAGCCATCTCCAGGGAAGCAGGGCTCCATCACATGTAACGGTTACTTGGGAAGACAAACGCCATCACTCCGAACGTCCCCCCTTCCTTCTTCTTCCCCCAGTTTTATACGCTGAGCATGACGTCATATGGTATAGAATACCCCATTGGCCAGTTGGGTCAGCTGTCCTGGCTGTGCTCCCTCCCAACTCCTTGTGCCCCCCCAGCCTCCTCGCTGGTGGGGTGGGGTGAGGAACAGAAAAGTCCTTGATCCTGTGTAAGCACTGCTCAACAGTAACGAAAACATCCCTGTGTTATCAACAGTTTCCAGCACAACTCCTAAACACAGCCCCATACTAGCTACTGTGAAGAAAATTAACTCTATCCCAGCCAAAACCAGCACACCTACGGTCCTGGAGCCCTCCCCACTTCTCATCTGCCGCCAAAATTGCACAAACACCATCATCTTCAAATCTTCCGTCTCTTTGCTCAAGCTTGCGTGCAAATGGCCAGCTGGGATGGGGCAGGCAGGGAAACACACATGTATATACAGAACCCTTAATCTCTGCAGAACTAAGCCAAAATTATTTTGGTATATTGGCTTTTAAATTGGTGCCTTCAAAACTCATGGGAGGTGCTTTTGTTCTTATCTCCTTAGCAAAACATGCAAGCAAGGCCTGACTACCTCTTCTCTGTCTCCTTGAGTACCCATATCCTCCTATGTTTTTTCTCTGAATCCTCTTATGGATGTTCCCCCAGGTCTCTAAGTATTTCCATAGCCTGCTTCTCTTCTGGTATTTGCTGCTAAAGGTGTAGTGCTGAGAACAAAATCTGTATTTTGGTGCACTGCTTTGCATCACCATGCTCCATGCAGGAGCTCTTGTTTTCTGTTGGCCAGCTTTGCTCACTGAGCAAAGGATATTGCAAGAGACAGATCTCTTTTGCTTGATGCTCTCCATTGGGCTGACTGGACATGAGGAAGAAGTATCTGGAAAGAGGGAAAGGGCAATAAGAAATGAGCTGCAAATTAAGACAAAAAGTGATCATCCCAAACTATAGCCTGAAGCGTAAAAGTTGAGGTAGTTCAATTTGGAAACTTTTCACTTAGATGATCTAAACCCACAAATATGGACTACGATAACATAAGAAACACAGTACACCAACGTTGTAAAGCTTAAAAAATTAATGGGTCGCATTGAAATGTTAATGACAAAGCCAATATATTGCATTTTGATTTTGTGTGACTCCAACACATTCCCATCAAATCCATAATCAAAAGTGATGTGCTCTCTCAAAACAGAAACACCTTTGAAACAAAATACAGCATCAACATATTTCATCAGACCTACTTACAGCATAGAAATATTAAACAAACACTTCCTTTCTCGCCTTAATTATTGAACAGTGTACGAAGTAGCAAAGATGAATTCACTTTAATGAATTCTATGATGTTTTAAATAAGGAGGGGAAAGTCTCTTTATTGTTCATTATTTTGCAGCTACATCGCTGGTCTTAATTTGCAGAACTGATGTTTCCATATAGCAAAGTGAACCACTTTCATTATCTCAATTTACAAGTAGGGAAACTGAGGCACGGGGCACACACTTTCTTTCCCCAAGGCCATTGAGTAAATGAGCAGCAGAACGGATCAAAACCCATAGCAGCAGTGCCCTGCTGTAACCACTAAGTAGCATCACCTTCATTTAACACAGACCATTATCAGTTTGCAAATGCTGCTAATGGAAAAAGACCTACTGGGTTCTTTTGCAGCTCCCTGTAAGCGTGGGCTTTTTCCATGCCATGTGCTGTAGACAAAAGTGCTTTATACAATCCCTACATTAAAATAATTCAAGCAGGAGGACATCTCTCATTTCCTTTGGGGGAAACAATTCTGTAGCTGAATAGATTGCAGCATTAGGAAATAATTCCTGACGTCCAGCCCCTGCCACAGCTTCTAGAAGCTGTTGATATATTATTAATAGAAAGGAAAATAAATATAGGTATTAATGCCAGCAGACACTGTCTACTACTAATAGCTGCTAAAGTAATATATTCCCCTTTTTTTTAGCTTTTATTAGTCTTTTTGCAAAGGGTTACAAGACCCTTATGCATCCATTAGCCAGTCAGCCATGTGAAATTAATGTGGAGCAATTTTCATAAGCATTACTCAGAACTAATAATAATTAAGCATTATTTTCTGCTCAGATAACACAGAAAATAAAGTCTGACTTTTATGCCAAGATGGGTTTGCATTAGCTTAAGGTAGATGAATTAATTCTCATTTACAAGGCTTCTCCACCAGCTAGCCAGAAAATATCAAGGTAATTAAAACCAATTTGTGAGGTTCTGTCCCATTGCACATTCACTGAGTTTTATCATTGCTGCAAATTACAGGTGCTTTTATGCCTTTGCAAAGGTGGGACATGAAGGAGACCTTGCTGCTTGCCTCCTTCTCCATCACTTCCAAGAAAAGCAACCTCCTTGTGAAGACCGGAACGCATTTTGCAATGCACTTTGTTGCTGGAGGAGCAATGAAGGACCATGCGTTGCATGAAGGACCAGCTCAGTCCCAGCTCAGGCTGGGATGTGGACCTCTCAGCAATGCATGTAATAGGCCTTTAACAGAGAAAAAAAAAAAAGCTGTTTGCTTTTGATTTACCGTTTACTTGCAAGGGCTTAATTTTGTCTAATTACCAAGCCAAGGGACTTCTGTAGACAGCATTGTATGGATAGCTCAGAAACAGTTCTCTTCAGCCAGCCAGCTTTTTCTCTATTGCCTTTAACAACCAAAACCCAGACTGATTAGTTATACGATGCTACACCTTCCAACACTGCTCAAAAGACTTCTTGCCCTTTTTCTAGCTTAAGGAGATACTGAATTTGACACGTAGTCAAGTCCCAGCAGCTTGACATATCACCTGAGCAGCTGCTGTGGTCCCTGAAGATGCTCTTAGCTTGGGCCAGCTGCAAGATAGAAGATACTTTAGTCCAGCTAATAATTAGCTGTAAGGTACATTAACCCAGAGCTGTCCTACCAACAGCTAAGCTAATATGCAACTGAGTAAGCTAAGACCTTTCTTAGGCTTTCAGCTTTCCAAGGGGAGCAGCTGCTTCAGATGCCACATCTTGACTTTGCATCTGAGCATAGCAAATAACTGGGCCTGATGTGACCCACCAGTGTGGAAAATCTCTTTTTCAGAGGATTATGGTCTCTTTTGTCCGTGTCCTGGCTCTCTCATTTCATGTCTCTGGCCTGTGTCACTCTGGCATCTCATTTTGGCATCTGTGTCCACATCAGTGAGATGGAGCAGGCTGACCTGAGACATGACTATATGGGTCACCAACAAAAGAAGAATGAAACAGTAGTTCTGACTTTTTATTATGTTTTGAAAAATCTTCTCTAGAGAAATCTAACTGCTATTAAAGAGATAAACAAAAGGAGACAATACTCAAGAAACACCAGCTGTGTCTCAGTCCTGGAAGGAACCACCCTGACATTTGCATGTTTATCCATGCCTTCAGTGAAGAAAGGTTTCCCCCTCATGGCTGTCTCAGTCTCGATCCAATCACGGTAGCTGTAAACAGACATTAAGATCTCATGGTTTGGCTTTTCCACACAATCTTCTGCCCAGCTGACGATGCCGACCTGAAACCACTTCATGGTGTTCCAGTAGCTGCAAACCACAGGTCCCCCGCTGTCCACCTACGGCATAAGCAGGAACAAACCTCAGGTCTCTCATAGCAGTTGCATTCCATAGGGTGATTGGGAAAATCAAACTCTATCATAGAATCATAGAATCATAGAATCATTAAGGTTGGAAAAGACCTCTAAGATCATCAAGTCCAACCATCAACCCAACACCACCATGCCCTAATGTCCAATCTAAATCTCCCTTGGCGCAACTTGAGGCCATTTCCTCTCGTCCTATCGCTTGTTACTTGGCAGAAGAGACCAACCCCCACCTCGCTCCAACTTCCTTTCAGGGAGTTGTAGAGCGCGATGAGGTCTCCCCTCAGCCTCCTCTTCTCCAGGCTAAACAGCCCCAGTTCCCTCAGCCGCTCCTCA